AGAATGGTGTTGTGCACGGCCGTGCACCTGGCCGTGCAACTCGGGAAAGTCGGTTTTAAAGCCTAATTCGAGCCAAAAGTGGGAGAATCGTGTTTGGAGAGCAAAAACAGAGCCCTAGAGAGAGAAAGTGCGAAGAACTCATCCTAGAAGCTGTCTAAGAGCTGGATTTCATCGAATCGAGCTTGGAGATCGTCATAGGAGTGGAAATCATCGTCCCGGAGCAGATTATCCTCATCGTTATGAGTATGACTAATCCGATTCTTGTTTTCTCTTCTCTCTCTATGGAGTAGAACCCTTCTCTCACTTGGGTATGAAGAACCCTAGTTCCTTGTGTTAGGGATTTGATTGTAATGACTTGGGATGATATTACTGTTTGATTTTAATCGAATGACGCATGTTTATTGAATTGATTTGAGTCTGATCAGCTTTTCTCAATTTCTGCTGCAACCTGAGATAGATAGAATCTGATTAGGTTGTTAGAGCCTCTTCATTCGATAGTAGGAGATTGGCTATACCAGAGTTAGCCAGTTTACTGCTTTGTACTGGTGTTCTTGGCGCCAGTAGTGGAGTTCTGTGTTCATAGCCTCGGCTTTCTATCCCGGTGAAGACTAGTCGTCTGCCGGGTAGTTAGACTGAGAGGGCTTGGTCAACTTAAGAGATTCCAAGCTACTTTCGGATCTTCCGCAGTCTAATCAACAGTAAATCAACCCAGGGAATTGCAATTGAACCTAACTAAGGGGCTAGGGGGACTCAATCCCGAGTGACTCTTACCTGCTTTAGAAACCCGAACAATTTACTGCTTTCTTGTTGCTTTTACTTTTCACAACAATCACTCGACTTAGTTTGCTAGATAATAGAGAATCACGGAGTAAGCAGTAGATCTAGACCCCGGGTTGATAATTAAACTTGCCTATACTGCAGTCCCTTTCATTGGTTACACTTGGCCATTGTTAGGTGTTGTGTTTTAGCGTGTCAAGAAGCAACGCACCGTTTTGGACTGAGTCGTTGGTTTCAAGTTTTACTGTTTAATTAGCCACTTGTACAACATTCATTGGTTAGTTAGAAAGTTAGTTTAACGGCTAGTGCACAGTTAGTGTAAATGGTAGATTAGCAAAATGTATATATACTGCTATCAATGGAAAAGCTCAGTGTGAGCGATTTTCCCCAATTCGTTTCTCTGGCAAATTCATACAAATCCCTAAATCTTCACACGGCGAAGGGTCGGTTGGAGCGTACGTAGGTGGTCGGTAGTGGAAATCGTTTGGAGCATAGGGGGTCGCACCGGCAGAGGGTAGTTTAGTCGCGCTCTCTCGACGAAGATGAAGAATTAAGTAATAGGCGGTTTGTTTTTGTTAATAAAAGATAATTTAGTAATTGTATGCATTAGATTAGGGCGATAAAAGTAAAATTAGGGCGAGATTTAGCCATTCAGTTTCAAATTTCCGACGCTCAGAGCGTGACCATTTTAAAGAAAAACAAGGATAATAACCAATCACACTAAGTACATTTGTTGTATCTTTTTAAATTAAAAATATATAATAGCAGGGAGGAAAAAACCTTTCCCCCATTTCAAATTCCTTGCTCCATGAGCGTTTGTAGGAAGGGTAGAATAGGGAGTGCCAATTTTTTTCTCTTTCCTCTGTGGAACAGGCCAACTTACCGTACACATGCGAATTTAAACGGGTCTAGGAGTGTCAATTTTTTTTCTTTAAGCTCTTTTATTTCTCCTTTTTATTGTTAAAAATAAAAAATTTAACAATAAACTAATGCATGGTATCTAATGGGCTAACAACTAACCATAAAATAAAAGAGTTGAATGGGCCTGACTTACATGAGATTTGGCCATCAAGTAAAACAAATGAACATCATTGGTTTGTCATTCTAAAACAAGCTATTTTCTCTGGCATAATATATATTATGCTATTATTTTAGATCTTTGTGGCTAAAATATAATGTATTTTAAAGTTATTCAATGGTTCAACCTCGACCAACCCAATTAGTCCATAATGATCAAATTATAGTGTATTTTATAGGGAATCGTTTGGTATTTGTTAGTAAAAAATTAAACATAAAGATCTATTTGGTTATTTTAAACATTAAAACAATCCTAAACATATTCAGTTCCTTTTGAATTTCTATGGTTTTATTCCCGAATAAGTGATGTGAAAATGGCGAATTGTAGTCGTCTCTTTTCTTTCACTATTTTTTATTTTCAAATAGAAAGTTTAAAAGTAAAGAATAATTAGAATTTGGCATGGGTCGGTCAAACAGACTGAATTTCAAGTTTTGGCCCGTTTGTTTTATGCATTGCAAATTTATTAGCATGTTGATGGAAATGGCTTGGAAAAAAGACATATAAGTTGTACGTTTGCAGAAATGTCCTCAAATGTTTGAATGCTTTGTGAATCAGATTCCGTGACTTTTGTGATGGTGTATGTGCTTGACGATTGCTCGATGTTGTAACTACTTAATTTGAGAGTAAATCTTTTGATTTTCCCTATGAGTTGTGATACCAGTTCTGGTGGTTGCAGCACGTTGTCGTTGTTGGCCTGTAAAAGTTGTTCCGTCGTGATGCTAAATACCTTTCTTTCTTTTTTAACAAATTGTGTAGTAGTGCTATGAAACAGACCACCCATGAACGCTACGCTTATTATGGTCCGTTCTTACTTCCGGTGGTGAGAAATTGTGAATTGAGAATCATATTCGCCTACCGCACTGTGTCTGGCTGGTGGCTGCTTACTGTGCTCTCTAGAGTTATGAAACAGACAACCCATGAACGTTACACTTAAGAGTCCATAACTTTGCGAAAAACCAAATTTTGGCAATCAATGGTGGTGGATGTGTGATGATCTTTTATGGCTTAATTGTTTGTGAATTGGATATCTGATCTTTGTATGATTAGAGGGGATGTTTGCTTAATAGAATAATCCATTTTAATTCATGTTTATTTTTAACATGAACTTTAGTAACTCAAAACCATCGAGACACATATCACCTACTGCATTGTATCATTTTGCCTGGGTGCTTGCTGTGTTGTCAAACTTCTTTGCTGCTGCTGCATTTACACTAACAGGGGAGTTAAGAACCCATGAATGTTTCCGTTTGACACAAACAGGAGGACTTGCTTCTAAATCGTGCACTAAAGATGATTGGAGGAAACATCTCTGTTGCAGTTGATATACTGGAGACCAGAACAAAAGCAAAGTATAACATCAAAACCAACCATCTGAACTATTAGCATTGTTGCTTTACTCTTTTTTAGTGGTTGAGTCTCCTTCAAAAAATTTAGTTTGATTTTAGAAAATTTTGCTTCTGCAGTCCTGTCTTGCAACCAACGGGTTCAGTAGATGGAGATGGCAGAGGCGAAGGCTATTTTTGTGTTGTTGTTGCTGGTTTAGGGATCGGTTTGTGAAGAAGAGGGGGAAGAGAGGGGGAAAGGGAAATGCAGGAGAGGGGGATAACTCTTTTCTCCGAAAAAAATGGAGTGAAGAAAGGAATTATGATCAGTAAGGATATGGTTATCTTACATAACGGTCTCTATTCTGTTTGAATTGAGCTTGGGAGGCAGTGATAAGGACGATCTGCAACCAATTCATAGTGAGAAGAGAGCTATGAACTGTGATCATGTCTTATTTCAAGTTAGAAGGTAGTTTCAGTATAAGGATTATTTAATTTGACAAGTTGTTTCATCCATGATTCTTGGTAGTTTCAGTGCCATTCTAGCCATTGTTTGGTCTGTAATTTTTGAGAATTGATGTGCGAGTAATGACTTTCACTTAGCTTCAACTATTATGTGTGTATTTATTGGCATGTGATAGAATTCTCTTTTCCTTTTCTTTGAATTCAGTCTCATTGTATCATTTGTACATAGGCAAATCATGCTCGAGATGACAACTCGTTGATATGGCTGGTGCAAGGAATGAAACCATCATTAGAATTCAGACCGACAACGGGGAGGGATGCCCAGGAATAATTTAATGATGATTGATGATGGTATAATAAAAACTGCAGTCTGCATTAGCACCAATTTCTAGGCCTAAGTAAAGTTATTCAACCCAGAACTCTGCTTAGCGCTAAAAATTGCGCTCACCCAACCTTGATCCTGTTTGAACCACTTCTGAAGAGTCAAGATATATGACTAATCCTCTCCGTTCGTATTTTCTTATTGACTCTTTCTGACCCTTTAGGTTGGGGCGAGTCGGGAAGAATCGGATTAGTGGGTCGGTCCTAATCAAGTGGAATCTCAATCCCTTCACTCTCACTTGCTTTCTCTCTCATTCCACAAGTGGTTAACATACAGTAATTCGGCCAACGGGCCGGGTCATAAGCTAGTATAGAAGATAGATTGAAGTTAGAAACGGGCTACAACCCCCTCATTCGTATTGTGTGGGCGCTTCTCCTTTTTCTTCATTTTGTTTTGTTTTGTAATCTCTTTTACCCTAAGTAATAATGTTATTTCACCATTAAATATTCTTCATTTTGTTTTGTTTTGTAATCTCTTTTACCCTAAGTAATAATGTTATTTTACCATTAAAAAATTTAGAAGATAAAATAGTTGGTAAGACTTTAGTCTCTCCCCAATATGATGGTTCAAATCATTTTCACTTATAATTTTAGATCCGTTGGAACGAATTTAAACAAAATGATTCAAATTAAACTGGAAAAATGTTCCATTACATGAAGAGTTACAGCAGGAAAATAAACAATAAACACTAATAATCAAGCTAACAATTTCACTAATTCCGCTTTGAAAATAATTTATTAAGTCAATGTATTACATCTTGACTGCCATGATTTAATCGTTAATTATAAAGGGGGAAAAAAAAAGAAGAAGAAACAAGCTATAGTAATTATAGTAAGCAAAAATGAAATCAGCTAGCTAGCTTAATTTCTAGCATAAATAAATAATCATGAGAAAATTTTAATGATCAAATAGTTCAGTACTCGGTCAATTTCTCAGCTGGACCAACTTCCCCTTCATCCCCAATTTCTTTCCCCCGTCAATTAAACTGATGCGCCATTGCTCTCCCGCCACTCCCGCCGCCGTTACTATAACCGAGAAGCCTCGCCGCACTAACGGCCGCCGCCGCCGCTTGATGAGGATGCACTCCAAGCGTGTACACCAACGACGACGGTGTACCAGCCGGCGGCCCGCCATACCCATGTAAGTCCAAACCCTGATGAGCGGGCCGGCTCATCGAAAACATGGGCCCGCTCATCATCTGATCACCACCACCAATGTTATCAGCACCATTCATATAGGGATAGTGATAACGTTGGTGGTAGTTATCTATCCCGCTCATAAAATCATGACCGTCTCTGTTAGCAGTAGTAACAGAGACGGTCTGCTGACTGGGGCTGGCAGCAGCAACAGTAACAGAATTTTCGCTCTGTTGCTGTTGTTGCTGGTGGTGGTGGTGGCTGTTGTCGTTGTTGTTGGTGGTGGTGGAATTGACCTTGTCTTCCTCGGTCTCGCGGTACTTGCCGAGGTAGACCTTGAGGGGGCCGACGTAGCTCTCGAACCCTAGGGTGGTCATGGCCCAGAGGAGGTCGTCGCCGTTGACGGTCTTCCTCTTCTCCCTCTGGCACTTGTCGGAGGCTTCTCCGGTGACGAAGCTGATGAACTCCGACACGCACTCCTGGACGGTCTCCTTGGCCTCCTTGGAGATCTTGGCGTTGGCCGGGAGGGACTTCTTCATGATGCGGCTCACGTTGGCTATGGGGAGGAACCTGTCCTGCTCCTTGTTGTTGGTGGTGGTGGAGGAAGAGCCGCCGTCGTCGGAGAAGTTGCCGGAGGTTGGGCTGCTGCCGCGGCTCTGGTTTCTCTTCCCCGCCATTTTTTATGATTTTTTTTTTTTTTTTGCTAGCTAGGCAATAGGCTTCTTCTTTTGTTGCTTGTTGGTGGTGGTGTGGGATTTTGAAGAGAGAATTAGAAGGGTTTGGAAGGGCTTTTTATGGTTGTTGGGGGAGAGAAGGTTTGTGAGAAGAGATTATAAAAGGTGGGAAGGCGGTTTGATGGAGACATAAAATCTCAGAAAAATATTGAGAAGAGGAAAAAGGGAAGAGGTATTTTTTTCTTCTTCTTCTCAAGAGGTTTTGGAGCCATTGTGGAAAAGAATGGCTTTCACTTGATGTGGAATCTTCAAAAGGATGGGGGGAAGGAAATCATGTTTGAGAATTGAGATGGTAAGTGATGGGATTTTTATGCTTTGGGGTTCGATCGGTCCGTGGAGTTACGTATAGTTTAGAACGAACAGTAAAATTATTTGAAAACACACTGGAAAATGGATGGGATGATGAGAGTTTTTAAATCTTACGTTTTGTACTTGAAAAGTTGCTACAATTCATCTATCTAGTCCCCCTCCTTGCTCTGAACTCTATCTTCGTCATGGGATTCGATTCTCAAAATTTATTCTGTTGAAAAATATTTTCCCAATTATGGTCAGTAAATTCCCTCTCGACTCACAAGATGATGTAAATTTATATATAAATTTTGTAATAAATTTAGAAAATACAGTTGTAGTTTGTAAGGTTATAATTTCCTCTTACCAGCTTAAATTTTCTGAGAGTAAATTTTTAGCTCCTCATTCACTTCACAACTAAAGAAGAAGAAAAATTGATATTGTGGTTTTTATTATTTGTTAGTTGCAAATGATTAATCAACTTGTTGGCCGTTGGGGTCTTGACTAGACTAATATAATTAAATTTTGGGTCGTATTTTGAGCCCTTGTTCCCCATCATTTTCCTGCCTGCCTGATAAGGTACTTTAAGGCCAGCTTGTTTAAGAGGCCATATATACACAATACATTAATCCATTAAAATAAGCACCATCAATATATGGCCGGTTAAAGTACATACTAGTGATTTAACGACTAATTTTCTTTTTAATTCGGCGAACAAGGAATTTGTCTAGTGATATCATATAGTCGGTTTTCTACCTGAAAATTCTGAAGTCAAATTTTCATTCCAATACACCCTCGAATTATTGGGACGAGTTAGTAAATGAATATCTCCAACGCACCCTCAAATTTTTAATTTCAACCTGAAAAGCTTTAGGCAAGAAACTGGTTAAGATCAATAAATGAATATCTATCTCCAGAAAACCCGAATTATTGGGACGAGTTGGTTTATGACATGATTATCAGAGTTGCGTTGTACTTGAATCACGTGTTCAAGTTCCCACGACCCCAATATTGACCGTTGTTCTAAAAACACATGATATGATGTGTCTTTACAAACTTCGATCTCTTTGAATTGCTTTTCGTTCGAGGGATTAGAATTTGCAATATTGAAGAGCTTGCTAAGTCCTGAAGTTAATGTGGCTTATGCTAATATCGTAACTAAGGATCCAAAGGGTTGTGTAGCTGGCCAAGAATTGGGTCGTGGATTTTATGAAGTATTTGTTCACGTCGCCTTTAAGAGTGACGAGCCTTTAGTACGACCATATGGAAGTTTTCATACACTTGGGGATGTGGTTGGACGGAGTATCGCTTGGCCATCATCTTTGGTAAGTTAGATATAATTGGTTATACATTTGGTTTGACATTTTTATGAAAAATAGATGGTTAATTAATTTTTTTTTGTGTGTAACAGATCACAGTGACGGATACTCAATCCTTTTGAAGCTGCTCAATCATTATGAAGATGTTTGCTTGGATTATTAGTTCTAATAAGACCATCTTGTTTTGAGTGTTAGTTTTTTTATATTGGAATTGATCCATTATTTTACTTTGTTTGAACGTATTGAGGTCAGCACACAATTTGCACATTTTGATGTTATGGATTTAATAGTATATTTTAGTATTTTCTATATTTGTCTTTTATTATGGTTTTATCAATCTTCGTTTAATTTGATTTCATGGGTTGAAAATCCAATTGACAATAACAATTAATCAATTATTCCCCTCTACATATATATTCATTTGCAACAAAACAAATGGTCTAGAAAATGGTTTGAGCGACATATATAATTGTTGTACAAGATCCATTTCGAAAACAAAAATATTTGCAACTATAAACAATATTATAGACATAAACATAAGTCTCCTAAAGAGTATTTAGATGCTTATATATCTGTCTAAAAAAACTTAATTTCGAGGCAAAATGATATGTCTCTAAAATGAACATCAAAGACAGATAAAAACGTCTTCAAATTTATATTTGAAGACAAGTATAATCGTCTCAATAAGTAATTTCAGAAACCAAAATATTTGTCTCTAAATATCATTTTAGAGACTAATATTTGTGCCTTGAAAACTAGAAATGGAGGCAAATAAAATAGTGCCAAAAAGACATATTAAAGACTGAAATATTAGTTGCAATACCTCTAATCAGTAACAATTAATATTTGTCTCCATATCTGCCTCCATATAGCTATAGTGACAGCCAGTGGCGGACCCAGGATCGTTGAAGAGGGGTGTCGCCGATAAAAAATTATATTAAATAAAATAATTAAATAAAAATAAAAGTTGAATAGAAATTACTGAAAATTCTTTTATAAGTTAACAACGTCGTGTTTACTACGAATTATGACGATTTTTCATATCCTGAATTTTTTTTAAAATACATTCATCGCTTATATTGCAAATCAAACATTTTTCGATATACACAACTACATAATCATTCATAAATTAGTCACTCAACTAAAGGGAATCGACTCACGTCTAAAATAAAACTTAAAATAAAATAGTTTATAATCAAATATAGTAAACCACGATCTACCAATTGGCAATTTTAGACAAAACAAAGTATGCCTAAAGTAATATCATTAACATTTTTCCTCTAGTTCTACCAATTTAACCAAAATCAAACCACAATCTCCCATAAATCTACCCATTTCACCTATTAACTACAAATTGACAAGTTAAATTGGGTTGTGGGTTACTTAAAACAATCATGCTTATTTGATTTTACTTATTATTGTTAATGACTAATTATGATGAATAACTTTATAACACTAAAACTATTATCGTATAATGAAGGTGTGTCGCTTATACTTATTGGAGCGGTGTCGGAAGTCTCAAATTAAAATTTTTTGTACCGAAAAAATATAGGTCCTTCACAAAATTTTCGGGCGGAGGGGTGTCGGACGACACCCCTTCCATAGACCTAGGTCCGCCCCTGGTGACAGCGCTACAGGAGACAAATGAATAATTTGTATCTACAATAATGCAGAGACAATTAACTACTATATAGAGACACATTTTCTTTGTATCTATAGACGAGTTTTCCTGTAGTGTAAGAGACAAGTTTGCCGCTAGAGTTATTTAATTATTATCGCGCGAGAATCTGATTATACATGCCACATCGCAACACACCATTCTGAATGGAACAAAGAATCATCGATCGATCTCAGAAAGTAGGTGTGTGCACTGAGACAAACATATTTCTTCAGATTCACACTTGCTCCACCTACATATATACCGTCAAAAGAATCCTTGAGCCCTAGATGGCCTATTTTGACAGGAGACATGTTCAGCTTCAGATCGAGAAAATGGGTCGTAAGTAGTAGTAAGTGCATGCAGAATAAATCCCAAAGGAAGCAGATTGGACATTCATGGCGGGGGGGAACAGCAGATATTCGATCGGGCCGTACGTTGTATTTGGTGTTGCAGCTTTTGTTGCTTGACTTAGCAACAAAGTTTCCTCAAGTGAATATTTTTTTTCACGCTTCACATGCTCTCAAGATCGATTGAGGGGGAACATGGGATATATGTCTTCCTTTTGTTCTTTGATTTCTTGTGTGTACATAAATAATTATACATATGCATTTGTAATCCCAAAGGAGTCCGAGTGATTATGTTGGGATGAACGAGTTGTTTGATATCGTAATCTCAAATATTAAAGTTTTTTAGATTTTTTTTTAAACGAAAACGGGTGTAAAGCACCGCTATCTCGAAGTAAAGACATACATGACCCATTATCGTATGTCTGAATCAAGTAAAAACATAGCATGAGTAACTGAAGGGTAAAGAAAGACCATTGCGGGTTAGGAAATCCGCTAAACAATTGCCTTCTTTATAAATATATGAACAATACAAACCAATCAAGCACACTCCATGAGGCAACAAAAACAAAGAACTAGAGAGGCATGGTGAATATGTGCAACTCGTAGTGATCGATCGATTGTTCGTAATGATGATTAATTGTCAAAATAGAAGGAGGAAAATTGCTCCGGTATACTTATAGTGGGATAGGTTGATGTTGAAATCGTATGATATTGCTAAATATGTTTTGCTATTAATTGTATGAGTGTGTATATTTTGTACATCTTGAATATCATAGCTTTGCTTGAATAAGTTGTATTATACATTAAAAGTCGCAATATATATGATTGCAAGTTTGGTTACTGGGTTTACTAAAAAGTTACATATTTAGTCACTAAAAATATTTAATTTCAGTTTTGATCACTAACATTAGTTTAACGGTCCAAGTTTGGCCACTCTCCTTTAGTCTCCGTCCAACTCCGTTAATGGAGTTCATTACATACTGACATGACAAATGGAATAATATAGTCAGCCGGATTTAACCCAAAATTCACTAAACCCAACCCGCCACATCATCACAACCCGCCACGTCATCCTTCCCAACCCCTATATAAACCCTAACCTGACCTAGTCAGATCATCTTGAGGCAGTCACTTTCTTGTTTGTTTTCGTCTATGTGATTTTCATGTAATTGGATTTTTCTCGAGTGATATTTTGAAAAAATAAAATACCTCCATTAAAAATATCACATCCAACCAATAATATTTAATTTTGTTATTTTCTCAAATAGTATTGTTTGGATTCATGAATAAAACATTTGCTATATATTATGGTGATGTTAACAAAATCAT